TTTACTCATTAAAACACCCTTCGGGTTGTCAAATGGAACTTGAATAAGTTTAAGTCGAAACTCTCATTTTATTTCAAAGATTCAATCTTTATATATTAAAAACGTATAGTGACATAATGGGTACCTTGATTGAAGTATTTTCATTCAAAGATTCAATCCTTAGTCATTAAAACAATCTTCGACACTTCATTCGGAACTCGAATAAGTTAAACTCAAAACTCTTATTTTCTTCCAAAGATTCAATCTTTTTACATTAAAAAGGTTTATTAACATAATAGGTACCTTGATTGAGGTAATTTCATTCAAAGATTCAATCTTTACTCATTAGAACACTCATCGTGATGTCTAAGGGAACTCGAATAAGTTTAACTCAAAAAACTCATTTTATTTCAAAGATTTAATCTTTATACATTAAAATGGTCTAGTGACATAATAGGTACCTTTATTGAGTTAATTTCATTGAAAGATTCAATCTTACTCATTAACATACTCTTCGGGACGTCAAAGGGAACTCGAATAAGTTTAACTCAAAACTCTCATTTTCTTTCAAAGATTCAATCTTTATAAATTAAAAAGGTCTAGTGACACAATCGATACCTTTATTGAGGAGATTTCATTAAAGGATTCTATCTTTACTCCTTAAAACACTCTTTGTGATGTGAAAGGTAACTCGAATAAGTTTAACTCAAAACTCTCATTTTATTTTAAAGTTTAAATCTTTATATGTTTAAAAGGTCTAGTGACATAATAGATACCATGATTGCGGTATTTTCATTCAAAGATTCAATCTTTATCCATTAAAACACGCTACGCGACTTCGTAGGGAACTCGAATAAGTTAAACTCAAAACTCACATTAAAGTATCTTTAGTCATTAAAAAACTCTTCGCGACTACAGAGGGAACTCGAATAAATTAAACTCAAAACTCAAATTTTCTTTCAAAGATGCAATCTTTATAAATTAAAAAGGCCAAGTGACATAATGGGTATCTTGATTCAGGTAATTTCATTCAAAGTTTCAATCTTTACTCATTAAAGTACTCTTCGTGACGTCAACGTGAACTCGAATAAGTTTAACTCAAGACTCGAATTTTCTTTCAAAGATACAATCTTTATACATTAAAAACATCTACTGCTGTAATGGGTACCTTGATAGAGGTATTTTTATTCAAAGATTCAATCTTTAGTCATTAAAACACTCTTCGGGACTTCAAAGGGAACTCGAATAAGTTAAACTCAAAACTCTCATTTTCTCAATCTTTATACATTAAAAAGGTCTAGTGACATAACAGGTATCGTGAATGAGGTAATTTCATTCAAAGATTCATCTTTACTCATATTAAAACACTCTTCGTGATGTCAAAGGAAACTCGAATAAGTAGATACCATGATTGAGGTATTTTCATTCAAAGATTCAATCTTTATCCATTAAAACACGCTACGCGACTTCGTATGGAATTCGAATAAGTTAAACTCAAAACTCTAATTTTCTTTAAAAGATTCAAACTTTATACTTTAAAAAGGTCAAGTGACTTAATAGGTACCTGGATTGGGGTAATTTCATTCCAAAATTCAATCTTTACTTATTAAAACACTCTTCGTGACGTCAAAGGGAACTCAAATAAGTTTATCTCAAAACTCTCATTTTCTTTGAAAGATTTGATCTTTATACATTAAAATGGTCTTGTGACCTAATCGGCACTTTAATTCAGGTATTTTCGTTCAAAGATTCAATCTTTAGTCATTAAAATACTCTTCGCGACTGCATAGGGAACTCAAATAAGTTAAATACAAAACTTATATTTTCTTTCAACGATGCAATCTTTATAAATTAAAAAAGGCCAAGTGGCATAATAGGTATCTTCATTCAGGTAATTTCATTCAAAGATTCAACCTTTACTCGTTAAAATATTCTTCGTGACGTCAAAGGATACACGAATCAGTTTAACGTAAAACTCTTATTTTCTTTCAAAGATTCAATATTTATACATTAAAAACATCTACTGATGTAATGGGTACCTTGATTGAGGTATTTTCGTTTAAAGATTCAATCTTTAGTCATTAAAATACTCTTCGGGACTTCATAGGGAACTGGCATAAGTTAAACTCAAAACACTCATTTTCTTTCGTAGATTCAAACTTTAAACATTAAAAAGGTCTAGTGACATAATAGGTATCGTGAATGAGGTAATTTCATTCAAAGATTCATCTTTACTCATTAAACCGCTCTTCTTGATGTCAAAGGGAACTTGAATAAGTTGAATCCAAAACACTAATTTTCCTCCAAAGATTCAATCTTTATACATTAAAAAAGGTCTAGTGACATAATGCGTACCTAGATTGAGGTATTTTCATTCAAAGATACAATATTTTACTCATTAAAATACTGATCGTGACGTCAAAGGGAACTCGAATAGGTTTAATTCAAAACTCTCATTTTCTTTCAAAAATTTAATCTTTATACATTAAAATGGTCTAGTGATATAATAGGTACCTTTATTAAGTTAATTTCATTCAAAGATTCAATCTTACTCATTAGCATACTCTTCGGGACGTCAAAGGGAACTCGAATAAGTTGAACTCAAAACTCTTATTTTCTTTCAAAGATTTAATCTTTATACATTAAAAAGGCCAACTGACACAATCGGTACCTTTATTGAGGAGATTTCACTCAAAGATTGTATCTTTACTCCTTAAAACACTCTTCGTGATGTCAAAGATAACTCGAATTAGTTTAACTTAAAACTCTCATTTTATTTGAAAGATTTAATGTTTACACGTTAAAAAGGTCTAGTGAAATAATACATACCATGATTGAGGTATTTTCATTCTAAGATTCAATCTTTATCCATTAAAACACGCTACGCGACTTCGTAGGGAACTCGAATAAGTTAAACTCAAAACTCTCATTTTCTTTAAAAGACTCAATCTTTATACATTAAAAAGGTCAAGTGACTTAATAGGTACCTGGATTGTGGTAATTTCATTCCAAAATTCAATCTTTACTTATTAAAATACTCTTCGTGACGTCAAAGGGAACTCGAATAAGTTTAACTCAAAATTCCCATTTTGTTTCAGAGATTTGATCTTTATACATTAAAATGGTCTTGTGACCTAATCGGTACTTTGATTGAGGTATTTTCGTTCAAAGATTCAATCTTTAGTCATTAAAATACTCTTCGCGACTGCATAGGGAACTCAAATAAGTTAAATACAAAACTCATATTTTCTTTCAAAGATGCAATCTTTATAAATTAAAAAAGGCCAAGTGACATAATAGGTATTAATTCAGGTAATTTTTTTCAAAGATTCAATCTTTACTCATTAAAGTATTTATCGTGACGTCAAAGGAAACACGAATCAGTTTACCACAAAACTCTTATTTTCTTTCAAAGATTCAATATTTATACATTAAAAACACTTTGCTACAAATTCTGCAATTTCACGCTTCATATTGTTCCACCAATAGTATTCTTTCAAATCCCTGTACATTTTAGTACTCCCCGGATGCATAGCATATATAGAACTGTGGGCTTCATCTAAAATATCTTTCTTCAAGGAAACATCATTTGGAACACAAATTCGACTTTTAAAATACAAAATCCCATCATCCCTAACTATAAATTCAGTTTGCATACCCTCTTGAGCTTCTTTTCTTTTCTTATCCAGGAATACGTCATGTATTTGCAGCTCTTTAATTCTATCCAGCAACAAAGGTCTCACCGTAACATGTGCAAACAATGCTCCTTTGTTAGTAACTGTCAATTCAACTCCCATCAGTCTCAATTCCATAATATTTGCCACCCGTGCACACTGTACACAAGATAGTCTCCCTGAAGACTTCCTACTCAAGGCATCTGCTACTACATTGGCTTTTCCAGGATGATGGTGGATATTACAATCATAATCTTTGATTAACTCCATCCAACGCCTCTGTCTCAAATTTAAATCCTTCTGTGTAAACAAATACTTCAAACTCTGATGATCTGTAAATATTTCACAAAGTTCACCATACAGATAATGCCTCCACAATTTTAAAGCAAAAACAATAGCAGCTAACTCCAAGTCATGTGTAGGATAATTCAATTCATGATTCTTCAATTGTCTAGAAGCATATGCAATTACTTTACCATTTTGCATCAAAACACATCCCAGACCCTGATGTGAAGCATCAGTGTAAATCACAAAACCTTCACCACCACACGGAATAGTTAACACTGGGGCTGACGTTAACTTTTTCTTCAATTCTTCAAAACTTCTTTGGCATTCCTCACCCCACACAAACTTTACTTCTTTCCGGGTCAACTTTGTCAATGGCAATGCGATACTAGAAAACCCTTGGATGAACCTCCGGTAATAACCTGCTAATCCCAAAAAACTTCTAACTTCTGTCACATTGGTAGGCCTTTCCCATTTCACCACTGCTTCCACTTTTGATGGGTCAACATAAATACCATCCCCAGATACTACATGCCCCAAAAAGACAACTTTATCAAGCCAAAACTCACATTTGCTGAACTTACCAAAGAGTTGTTTCATCTGTACCACAATTCTTAAATGCTTTTCATGTTCATCCACACTCCGAGAATATATCAAAATATCATCGATGAAGACAATAACAAAAGAATCAACATACGGATGAAATACTCGATTCATTAAATCCATAAACACCGCTGGAGCATTGGTTAACCCAAAAGGCATTACCAAAAACTCATAATGACCATATCGAGTTCGAAAAGCAGTTTTCGAAATATCACTATCCTTTACCTTCAACTGGTGATATCCTGACCTCAAATCAATCTTAGAAAACACCTTTCCCCCTTACAACTGATCAAACAGATCATCAATTCGTGGCAATGGATACTTGTTTCTGATGGTCACTTTATTTAACTGTCTGTAGTCAATACACAACCGCATAGTACAATCCTTCTTCTTAACAAATAACACCGGTGCACCCCACGGTGAAATACTAGGTCGAATGAAGCCTTTATCTAGTAAATCTTACAACTGTATCTTCAACTCTTTCAATTCTGTCGGTGCCATTCGATACGGAGCAATAGAAATTGGAGTTGTTCCTGGTACCAACTCAATGGTAAAATCTACCTCCCTGTCTACTGGCAACCCTGGTAATTCTTCTGGAAACACATCTGTGAATTCCCTTACCACTGGTACATTTTCAAGTGTCATATCTTTATTTTCAGTATCAATCACATAAGCCAAGTAACCCTGACACCCTTTCTTCAACAACTTTCTGGTTTGTATAGCTAAAATGAGACAGTTTGGAATAACATTTCTTTCCCCAGTAAATCTAAATTCTGGCTCCCCTGGTATCTGAAATACAACTTCTTTCCGAAAACGGTCTATTGAAGCATGATACACAGACAGCCAATTCATACCCAAAATGATATCAAAATCTGGTATACCCAACGGTATCAAATTTACCTTTAACTGTCTATCTCCCAATTGTAACACACAATCCCGGTATTCATTTGCAACCACTACCACTTCTCCCATTGGTGTAGAAATAAACAATTTACTATCTAATGATGAAAGTGGTCTACCCAAATGCATAGCAATAGATGATGCAACAAATGAATGGGTTTCGCCAAGATCAATAAGCACAGTAACATTTCTATCCAAAATAGAAAGTGTACCTGTCACCACTTCTGGTGTTGCTTGAGCATCCTGAAGTGTCATAGCAAACACTCTTCCCTGGGCTTGCGAACCACTTGTAACACCCTTACCTCCTCTTGACGAGTTCCCCTGTGCAAAACCTCTACCAGAACCAGCAACACTGCCCACTGATGTCATTCCTGTCAACATAGGACAATCTCTCTTCCGATGACCCGGTTGATGGCAATGATAACACTCTTCTGCTTTCAAGATAGGACAATCCTTCTTCTGGTGACCTTCCCTTCCGCACTGAAAACACCCCCTGCCAGTACCACGTCCTCCAAAACTACCTTGTTGTACAGATTGTTGTTCGAAAAGCCCTTGACCTCTTCCAATACTTGATGTCTGGCCTTGAGATTCACCACCCCTTCCCCTTCCATACCGCGACCTTTGACTTTTCTGACTTGCAATTCCTTCACCTCCTCTTGACTGTGACGGCTCAGATCTATTTCTTTTGTATTGTTTCCTTCTTTCTTGCAATTCTTTCACATCCCTTTTGGCAATCATGGCTTTATTCACAAGTCTGTTATAATATGTTTCCTCAAACACTGAAACTCTAGACTTAATAGCCGCCTCTAAACCATCCTGGAATATTATACATTTATCTTCTTCATTCTGTATAAACTTGGGTGCAAACCTCGATAAAGCTGTAAACTTAACTTCATAATCAACCACAGACATTCTATCTTGTTTTAGGAGAATAAACTCCCGTTCCTTCTCTTTTCTGTAAATTGGAGGGAAATATTTCTCATAAAAAGCTTTAACAAATGGATTCCAGAATATCACCTCTTTCTCTCCTGGACTGAGCAACAAATGTTTTGTCGTGTCCCACCAATAACTAGTTTCATTTTTGAACATAAATGTAGCTAAGTTTACCTTCCGGTCTTCTGCTGCACCCATCACTGCAAATATCGATTCCATTCTTCTTACCCACCCCTCTGCTTCTTCTAGTTTGGTAGTACTTGAAAATTCTGGGGGTGTTAACTTGATAAACCTCTCATAATCAGAGCCTTTCTTCCATTTCTGTTGTCTTTCCAGCCTTTCTTGTATCATCATTTGACTCGCCACAAATAGTTTGTTTTGTTCTGCCAAGTCTATTATAGCCTTTTCCATTTTTTGCATACCAGTTAAGCACTCATGTTCTCTTCTCATACCACCCTGCATAGGTTGTTCTACTTCAGCCTCAACAGGAACATAAGTGGCTTCACCCTCAGTTCTATGATAACCACTTTCCCTTTCCATTTCTTTTTATCTGCAATGAATCTCAAATATAACAACATATATATGATACATAATCACCACTTATATTTGTTAGTATAAAATTAAGTCAAATAAATGACTCTACTACACACTTCTTACTGCCACTGCCAGTCTAGACTCTTATGACCTCCAGAACCTAGAAAACCTAGGCTCTGATACCAAAAGTTGTCACATCCCAACCCAATTTACATTTTTAAATAAATTGAACAACTTGGGATGCATCTAACCATCTGCATTAACCTCATTCAAACATAACATCATCCTACATCAATATACCTGTTTAATAGTTTACAATAAAAACATAAACTATAAATCCACCTTTTAAGTTCTAAAAACTAAACAAGTAACTACAAGTCACAGTATTAAGGTCTACTACAATATTTACATTTTACACAAAAGATGTTCCATTGTTCTTTTCCCCATTTACACATAAGATTCTAGACTTGGCAGTAGCAACCCAAACTGATACCTGAAAAATATAAATATGGAAGGAGTGAGCTTAAAGCCCAGTGAATGCAACACTACTACATCAGAGTAATATAAACAGATATTATCTGATTGCTTCAATTACACTTCATTAACATATTACATACTTTAAAATATAGTACTCTCCTTCTAGGCCAGAGTATGGACCTTATATAATATAGTACCCTCTTTCTAGGCCAGAGTATGGACCTTATTTAAATATAGTACTCTCCTTCGTGGCCAGAGTATGGACCTTATTTAATATAGTACTCTCCTTCCAGGCCAGAGTATGGACCTTATATAATATAATCAAGTTATATATATTCATCTTCATTTCACATAAACAGTTTCAATACTTCAATTAAATACATCCAAGTATAAACTTCCAGTAAGTACACTCACCTTGATTACTTTTCCAATTATTTATTTTTCCTTCGGCACCGTCGATGTGGTCCGTTCCGTCTCATTGCCTGAACAATATTATAACCATGTTATATTCATTTCTAAAGAGAAATAAATAATTATTGTCACCTTCCTATAAATCTCAACTTTTCTATACAATTGTAATGGAAATTTCCAATTTTAACCATTTGGATTAAATTCCCACACAATACTTACTACCCAGCATGGTATATATAACTTAAAAGAAATTTACAACTCAATTGAACTAGAACAATTGAACAATTAGAATTTCCTCAAGAACAGCTTATAATATCAACTATAGAAAATTCCGATAATAAACCTTTACTCACCAACTTCACAATTACACTAAAATAATCATGATAACAATTCACATAAGGCAGCCTTTCACAATTAAGAGATGGTGTCTACGCTGCCACAGTTAATTGAATTAAGTACTAAAAGATTAAATAACAAACTTTCAATATATAATTTAAACTCTACAACCCCTCACCTATCTTTGAGTTTACTAACACTTTAGAGAGGAAAATCCTTCTCTTTCTATACTCCTTTCTTCTTACACTTCCTTTTTCCTTTGTTCTTCTATGGCGAAAACTCTCCTTCTTGCTTCGGTTCAAAAGGCCCCTTAAAGGCTCTTTGCAACGTGTTAAGTGTATAGACACTGATGGTTTGTGCTGGCAACACCTAAAAATAAAATAATGGCTTCCTTTTTATTTTTATTTTAATCAACCCACATAGATAAGTAGGGTGTTCCAGCGGTCCACAACAAACCTCCACACGAAATATATGTACACCTGAACAATGACCATGTGTGTGTGATTAAGTGAGTAGTCTTGGATATAAATATACACTGGCAGCTAGTACACCTTTTTAATTAAGCTTTTATCTATGCACTACTTAAGGATATACATAGGCATGGTTTTCAATTGGGCCCACCAATTTACCTTACCAACTTTAAAGCTTGTAACTAATATAATTCAATGTATATGGGCTACTAGCAGAAACTTCTAGCACAAACACACCCACGACATAACACATTGACTTCAATATACACACCTTGTTCATTTAATATATATATATTTTTTTCTTTCCTTCCCACTACCTGCCACCACTTCAAAAATTTGTAATTGACACCATACACATAAATATATAACAAACATGTGCAAACACTTCTAGGTACCATATACCATGCATTGGTGAACAATTTTTATACTTGAAATTAATTGTTTATAAAAATGAAATTTCTTATCTTGTTTTCCAACGCAATTAAATATAAATATTTAAACTCAAACACATATTAACAAGCTCGGTAATTAAAGAGTTAATAAAATTCTGGATATGACAATCTACCCCTCTTAAAATAAATTTCGTCCTCGAAATTAAAATGCATGAAACATACCGAACAAGTGAGGATATTACATTCGCATAACTTCTTCACTTTCCCAAGTCGATTCTTCAATTGTATGACCCCTCCACAATACCTTTACCAGTGATATAGTTTTATTTTGTAGCACTTGCTCCCGGCCATCCAAAATCTGTACCGGTTCCTCTACATAAGTCAAATCTTCCTTCAACTTTATCGGTTCTGCAACTAAAACATGAGATGGATCCGATATATACTTCCGAAGCATAGACACATGGAAAACATCATGCAATCTTGATAATTCTTTTGGTAATTCCAACCGATACGCCACTACTCCTATTCGTTCCAGAAACTTGTAAGGTCCAATGCGTCTGGGACTTAACTTACCTTTCTTTCCAAACCTCATAATACCTTTCCAAGGAGAAATACGAAGAAAAACAAAATCACCAACTTCAAATTCCAAATCTCTTCTTTTTCGCACATCTACATAACTTTTCTGTCTATCCTGTGCCACTTTCATACGCTGCTGAATTATTTTCACTTTTTCTGTTGTAAGTTCAATCAATTCTGGACCCAATAACTTTCTTTCCCCCACCTCATCCCAACACAATGGAGTTCTACATTTTCTCCCATACAAAGCTTCATACGGTGCCATTCCAATAGTAGACTGATAACTATTATTATAGGCAAATTCAATCAACGGTAAATAATCATCCCAATTACCTTTGAAGTTCAACGCACAAGCTCTCAACATATCTTCCAAAATCTGAATTGTTCGTTCTGACTGCCCATCTGTCTGCGGGTGAAAAGCTATACTGAACTTCAGAGAAGTTTTCATGGCTTCATGCAAACTATACCAAAATCTCGAAGTGAACTTCGGATCCCTGTCACAAACAATAGAAACTGGAGCCCCATGCAAACATATGATCACATCAACATACAAACGAGCATATTCCTTTGTAGAATAAGTGTTTTCACTGCCAGAAAGTGAGCTGATTTCGTCAATCGATCAACTATCACCCAAATAGAGTCATGTCCTCGTTTTGATCTTGGAAGTCCCATCACAAAATCTATGGTTACATGCTCCCATTTCCACTGTGGAACTGGTAACGGGTGCAACAACCCTGCTGGTTTCTGATGTTCAGCTTTCACTCGTTGACATATCAAACACTTTGCTACAAATTCTGCAATTTCACGCTTCATATTGTTCCACCAATAGTATTCTTTCAAATCCCTGTACATTTTAGTACTCCCCGGATGCATAGCATATATAGAACTGTGGGCTTCATCTAAAATATCTTTCTTCAAGGAAACATCATTTGGAACACAAATTCGACTTTTAAAATACAAAATCCCATCATCCCTAACTATAAATTCAGTTTGCATACCCTCTTGAGCTTCTTTTCTTTTCTTATCCAGGAATACGTCATGTATTTGCAGCTCTTTAATTCTATCCAGCAACAAAGGTCTCACCGTAACATGTGCAAACAATGCTCCTTTGTTAGTAACTGTCAATTCAACTCCCATCAGTCTCAATTCCATAATATTTGCCACCCGTGCACACTGTACACAAGATAATTTCCCTGAAGACTTCCTACTCAAGGCATCTGCTACTACATTGGCTTTTCCAGGATGATGGTGGATATTACAATCATAATCTTTGATTAACTCCATCCAATGCCTCTGTCTCAAATTTAAATCCTTCTGTGTAAACAAATACTTCAAACTCTGATGATCTGTAAATATTTCACAAAGTTCACCATACAGATAATGCCTCCACAATTTTAAAGCAAAAACAATAGCAGCTAACTCCAAGTCATGTGTAGTATAATTCAATTCATGATTCTTCAATTGTCTAGAAGCATATGCAATTACTTTACCATTTTGCATCAAAACACATCCCAGACCCTGATGTGAAGCATCAGTGTAAATCACAAAACCTTCACCACCACACGGAATAGTTAACACTGGGGCTGACGTTAACTTTTTCTTCAATTCTTCAAAACTTCTTTGGCATTCCTCACCCCACACAAACTTTACTTCTTTCCGGGTCAACTTTGTCAATGGCAATGCGATACTAGAAAACCCTTGGATGAACCTCCGGTAATAACCTGCTAATCCCAAAAAACTTCTAACTTCTGTCATATTGGTAGGCATTTCCCATTTCGCCACTGCTTCAACTTTTGATGGGTCAACATAAATACCATCCCCAGATACTACATGCCCCAAAAAGACAACTTTATCAAGCCAAAACTCACATTTGCTGAACTTACCAAAGAGTTGTTTCATCTGTACCACAATTCTTAAATGCTTTTCATGTTCATCCACACTCCGAGAATATATCAAAATATCATCGATGAAGACAATAACAAAAGAATCAACATACGGATGAAATACTCGATTCATTAAATCCATAAACACCGCTGGAGCATTGGTTAACCCAAAAGGCATTACCAAAAACTCATAATGACCATATCGAGTTCGAAAAGCAGTTTTCGAAATATCACTATTCTTTACCTTCAACTGGTGATATCCTGACCTCAAATCAATCTTAGAAAACACCTTTCCCCCTTACAACTGATCAAACAGATCATCAATTCGTGGCAATGGATACTTGTTTCTGATGGTCACTTTATTTAACTGTCTGTAGTCAATACACAACCGCATAGTACAATCCTTCTTCTTAACAAATAACACCGGTGCACCCCACGGTGAAATACTAGGTCGAATGAAG